AATTTTTAAACTTTAAGCAAAACCCCCTCTTCTGTTCAATTGCCCTCTCCTTGATTGTCTCGTCCTCTTGCACTTGAATCCCAAGGTTTCTCCCTTCCTCTTCCTATCTCTTTTTTTAAACTCTCATCTTCAATCTGCACACTTCAAGAAGATTGAAATTATAGTGTTCCAAGTTGTAAGAAGAAGCTTAGTAACTAATCATGATCATCCATTCCATTAATTTTGTTATAAGTGATTTTGATCCTTCAAGCCATCACCTCCTCTCTCTACGCGTCACCCCTGCCCGCTCCCTACCCATCTCTCTCCTTGCTCATCTTCTCCACCCTTATCTCGTTCCTTCTTCGCTAACCTAAACTCCACAATAAAATTTTTAGCCCATACAAATTTATTTATAATGTTACTTAATTGCTCTCGTGGAATCTTGCATCATTTTATCACTTATTACTATATTTTTATGTTCAAAGCTTGCTGGAAATTACTTCAAAATTTGGAATATGAGCATGAAGATAGCATCATCACATTGCATGCTAACTTTCCCATAGATTGCACTCATTTTTTCATTTTTTTCTGTTTATATTTGCTTCATTTGATATTTAAAATTGCGCATCATGTTGTTTACCTGCAAACAGTTGAAGGGGAATTAGATCTATTGGCTAAAAAAATTGAGTATACAGAAGCACTCATAGAACATGGAATTAACACTGGTTTTTTATGAATTTCGAGTAAGTGCACTTTTTGTTGAGGCACAAATTGAAATCTATGAGATTGCTTGTCGAGCCGAGGCAGTTCATTTTCTTACCCTTGAATGTAGTCAAATTTATGTTGGAGAAAGAGCTCTCATGGAGGCTAACTTTATAATACCAATTGAGATTGCACATATAAATTCAAATACAAATTCAAGGAAAGGTACGACTCCTAGGTGCCCACCCATTAACATCCTTGACGACAATGCAATTTTTTGTTGATAGCATAAAATCTCCCTCTCGTGCCACTAAAATATATTCTTTTATGATCTCTAAATTAAGTTATTTGAGACATTTAATTGATGAATTTTGAGGAGTTCGGAATTTGAATATTTTTGGGTGACTTTGCTATGATCAAATGTTTTCAGAATATTTAGAAGGTACATTAGGTTTTTAGATAAGATGCTACGCTATTATTCTGCTATTAACTAGGCCTTCATGAACTGGTACTAAGTTTACCTATAGGTGTAAGTTTATGGTTAATTATTCCTCTTGAATTTTGGGGAATTTTTTATAGAAGCCAGTTAGTTGGTTTTATGATGCTTTTGTTTAGTATCAACTATTTAAATTTGGAGCACAAAATATATTGTTTTTTACTTGGATATGATGGCAAGAGACTTCTGTGAATTTCTTAATGATTCTTTGATTCTATTATCATGAGTTATTTAGTTAGGAGTGTCATCTCAAATGACCACATTGAATTATGGGAAAACTTGCTGAAAGAGGATAATTTTAAATCAACATTGGCTAATTAAGTGGGGGACTTCATGCCTTATAAACAGTGCTTTATAGTTCATAACTTGCTATGAGCGTCAAGTGCCCATTTACTTGTCTTTTTATTATTTTATTTATTTATTATTATTTATTATATTTTTTTGCATGGGGATTGAATTTGAATAGAGTTTCTTATAGTAGTGGTATTGTTTTAAATACCCTCATATATAAAAGAATTTGAAATGATTTATCTTAGAATGTAATGACATTTTTTATGTTTAGGATCCTTTTTGGTTGTGATTTATGATAATTGATTGATCATTGCTAAATAGGCATCTCTCAATGTGTTTTGGATCTCTAGTCTTAAGATATTTTTCCTCTTATTTTGTAGAGTAGTCATGATGCCAAGGTCCAGTGTTCCGACAACTAGATGTAGAACCTCATCCCCTCTCTTGGTGTAGTTTTCCGGCTGAGGAGATAATCAAAAAGGGAGTTCATGACCCTCGCTTGTTGGTTGAAACCCGATTGCAACCAAATGTGCTTAGAAGCGTCGACTCTCACTTGTTTTACTGTTGCGAACAAACTTATAGAAGCCTGCTTCAATATTCTCGTGCTATATATCTTGTTGAAATATAAGGGGACTTCTAGCAAGCTCAAAAGAGTTGGAGGAGAAGAGCGCTCATGCCCGAGAGTGAAGAGAGAGAGCCATCCAAATGGAGTGGAGGATATATTCCAAAGTGTGCGCGGGATTCTAGCCTTAAGATATATTCTAGTCTTTTCTCCTTCGTTTCTCTCTCGCATAGTGTATTTGACACCGCACGCAATGACGATCAAACACGAGACTTTGCCTCTTACGTGTCCTGCTCGTCCGCACGGAACATTCCCACTTTCCTCACTTTCCCGTATGCGGTTCCTCTTCACACTTGTCTCTTCTTTGTTGGTCTCTCACAAGCAAACCCACCACATGTAATACCAAAATTTCAAAAATCAGGTAATGAATTTGACAAATTTGTAGAAGTACCTCAAATTTCGCATCCCCTGAAATTCTACCGAATTATTTTTATAAAATTCTACGCTTGAAATCGATCAATTTAATATTAAGTACTATAGATGAATTATGTTTGGATTGGGTGATGTAAATTTCAGGAGTTATAAGCTTTATTAAATTAATTAACTCTTAATTAATCATAATTCTTTCCTTATCTCACACATCAACACTGTAGCCAACCGACCTTCACACCTTTTATTTGTTGGTTTTGATCGAATAGGGCCTCCAGAGTCTAGAGCCTTCTCATTCTTCTTCTCTATCCTGAATTCTCCTCTCCCTCACTTTAGTGGCTCGACAGACGAAACCCGCGACATTTGATACTGTGTCGAGGCTCGAGCAACGGGTCGAGCGACACCAGGGAAGCCACATTTTGCAATAAGGGTTTTCGGGGAGAACTTGGTGAGTATGAATCCCTTTTTTAGGATATTTGACACTTTTATTTCTTTCCTCTTGCTTTCGTTTCAATATTTGCCTCAATTTCTGTGTTTTTTCATTTCTGGTAGCCGTCGGAGCAACCCATCTTGTGTTGAAAGCGTCGAAAGAAGTTTGCGAGCTTCCATAAGGGCTTTAGCACAAAATCAGTGAAGGGGAAGGGAAGGTTGAGGTGCTAGGAAGAGTTGGGGAGAAAAATAGGCATATCAGAAGGGCATATTTATGCCGAGAAGTCTGTTTGAGATATGTTTTGGGCGAATAAGTTATGTTTATGGTTTAATTACAATACGAGCTAGGATTTCATGAATTCCAGTGATGTCTATGATTTTAGGTTGTTTACTCGAGCTCAAGACAAACATGGGCAAACTCATAGTTGGGCAGCTCCGTTAAGTCAGGTGATCTGGTGCTAATTTTAAAAAAATAATTTTCTATAAGTTTTCATATGATTTCTCGTTTGACACAGATACATTTAGAATTTCTTGGATATAATGGATGAATGACTACATTGAGTGTATGATTATAAGCTTATTTTTTTCTACGATACATGCGATATTATTATGCTATGATATATATGACTATGCTTATGATATTAATTGTTTGCAGGTATTCTTTTGTTATGATTCATACATGCACTATATGAAATGCCTATGAATGTTTGCTACATGTATTATGCTTTTTGAAATATCATAAGGAATGTTATGGGTAAATTATTGTATGAGTGCTTGTAAGTATGCTATGTAGGGATTGGTATTCCCGACTCTTGGTGTTTAGGCGACGACAAAATTTTGAAAACCTTTGTAATCAGATGTTGACATATCGTAGGAAATCGTTGGTATTATGGGGCTATTGATAATTGTTATGTTAGGGGGGACCTTTACGATAGTTTATATGGTCTTTGAGGCAGGGTGATGCCCTATGATACGATGGAACATTGAAATAGTTGAGACATATACATTTAAAAGTGACATTGTTAAGAAATGATATTACTATGATTCTATGATTATATGACTATGATGACATTTTTATGATGCTATGATTCTGAATATCTTATGATTATATGTTTATGTCTATGACATACATGCTTACACAATAGTCTTGATTTCTACACTACCTACTTTATTTTCATTTTTTATACGATTCTAGCATATTATGACTTGTGTGTAGACATGTATTGTTTCATATGAACATGCACGTTGTTTCTTTTCCGTATATAAAATTTTATTTTAGCCTTGATTATTTTGCTGAGTTTGTTGTTGTAAACTCTATGTTGTTGCATTTGAAGAAGTGGAAATGAACAGTGGGGCAAGTAGCCAGATGTGATATGTAGAGTTTTGCACTTATAATTTTGGGAGTTTGTATAATTTTTGAGTACGTATTTTATTTATATTGGATTTATCAGTCTTGTATAGTTTTTATGTTTTAAGGTTATGATTTTCCACGCTTCCGGAAAAGAATATGAATGAATTATAAAATACAATGTATTACGTATGTTTGAGGCAATTTAATTAAACTAATTCACCACTCGCTGTCTTGATTCTGCAAGTCAGGATGAGTCTTAGTGAAAATTTAATCTGATCGAATTGTCCGCCTATGTCGCACCTCATCCGACCCTTAAAGGGGAGGGGCCACTGCAAGCATCCCGCATGATTCATCCTTGGTAGATGATAGCACACAATCTGCTTGCTTCATCTCTCATGTTTTCTCCCTGTTCAACTTCATCCGAATATTTATGTTCAAAGCCCCCACATCAAGTTCATCCAACTGTAGCCCACTAGTTTAGTTAACGTATTTTTTTTTTCTGACATTACATTTTCTTTTAATATGCAACGTCAACCTCTTTCAAAGATTTAAAGCTGATTAACCAGCAGTTAAGATAAAGCAAGTGATGATAAGCATTTGTCTCTAACTTATTCTAATATGGTCAATTTAACAATTTTCTACTTGATAACTTTTGCGATAATATTTTTCTTATCTTAAATCACGCATATATTCTTGCATGCTTTTTTTTTTTGAAATTATTTTTTTGGATTCTCATTCAAACTTTGAGTGTTGCTTGCTTCCAGCTGCATCATGTGGACGGTCTTAACCAGTCCGAAGTAAGGCAATTTCTAGAAGCTGAAGAAAACTCAACTAAGAATGTCATACCGTTAGTTGGGAAATCAGGACAAACTTGGGGAGCGGTAAGAGTGCTCGATGCCTATATAGTTTAATCATTAGTATCTTAGATCTTCTTTCTCTTTTCAAAGTTTTACTACTGAAAAATTTTAAATCTCAAGTCTTACATTTGATTTTTATTTAAGTGAAACGTCTTGATGACCTTGAAAATTGATGGTTTGAGATCGGTAGTCTATGTTGGAAAATCATAGAAATGAAGTTTGTAGGGAGGGAAACGGTGGAAAGCTGAGAAGGATTTCAGCTGCATGCTAGCGTGGACCAGCCGGCTATCTTAGAAATCATGGAGGATTTGATTGGGGACTACTTTGGAAACCTCTTGATTAGTTTTATTACCTTCCTATTTTATTTCTTTATTTTCTATTTCAGATTTATTTTATTTCCTAATTTTGTTTTGATATATTTGACAAGTTTGTAATTTAGGATGGATTGTTTTTCCTATATATTTATACATGTCCCTACATATGAATAATGAAAATCAAGGAATTATTTCTCTTCATACCTGTTTTCTACATGATATCAGAGCTTTAATTCAAAACCTATCTTCATTTTACTATCAGACCTCTCCCATTCAGAAGCGTCTTTTGGCTATGCTAGAATTCCTTGCAGGCAACCGATAATCCTCCCTACGGATCCCTTTCTCCTTGCAGGCCTCCTACTCAATTCCTTCCTACACCAAGAATCTCCTCTCCAATTTTCTTCACCGCCAGAATTTCATACTGCAGGCCCTCCTCCAGCCGGAGCTCTCATTACAACCCTCCTCTGCATTCCTCTACCTCCAGAATTCCTTCATGCAGCTTGAATTCTGGTTACAGGCCCATCTCTACCAGCATACTCTTATGCAGTCCCTCCATTGGAGCTTCTCTCTGCAGTTGTAAGTATCAGTGTCAAAAATTGACCCGACACGCAAACAAGATTCAAACTTGACTTGAAAAATCCAGGTTAGGGTTAACCCAAATATTTTTTTAGCCGAGTCCAGGTCAGAGAATTCGATCCGTTTATTATTCGGGTCGGGTTCGAGTTGAACCCAAAAACCCAAACATGACCCAAATAAGCATGAAATTTAAAGTCTGGTTCCGATTAGCGGCTCAAACTCGGGTTTGGGTCTTAGTTTTCGACCCGTTTATCATTCGGGGCTGTTATGGTTGACTCTATTTGGGTCGGGTCTTTTTCAGGTTGGACCCAAACCCTACCCGCTAACCCGAATTAACACCCCTAGTTGTAAGCACCAGGATCTCTGCAGAACATCAGCTATAAGAGACCTCCCTGCAGGGCCATCTCACACTATTTAAATTTAACATGATAATGCTTTTTTGTTGATTAAATTTTTCGTCAGTATGTGAGTTATTTGTTGGTCATCAACTTTTGTTTTTGCTTTGATCAATCATAAGTGATTTCTTTTCTATTGTATCCCTTATTGAACATTACTGGTGTGTGGACTTCGAATTTTCAGGCAATGCGTTCTACTCCTGATTCATTAAAACCTATTTACATATCACCCGGCCATCGAATATCTATAGATTCATCCGTCAGAATTGTCAAGCTGTGCTGCAAGTTTCGTGTACCCGAGCCAATCCGACAGGTAGGTTATACAGCATGTCTATTGAAACAACGGCAACTAGGGCTTGTCCTATGTTGAGGAATTTGGTGTTGATAACTTGGTGCTTCAAAATACTTTTCACAGGCTGATATTAGATCAAGATTATTTCTTCAGAATTTGGGAGGATCAGGAAATCTTACAATCTGGTATGCCAGGTTTCTTTCTTATTCAATGATATTTTTAATTGCAAAAGCTTTAATTTGAAATATTTGAATAAAATGTTATCATATTTCAGCTTGAGATATTATTATTATTGTTGAGGCCGCAATTTCTATTTGATTACCTGGAACTTCGATGCAATTTTCAAAGCACTTGAAAAATTACAGGCTTACAGGCTTGGGGAACTACAAATTTCAAAATTCCACCATTGAACTGATAAAAATAACGCTTCAACAAAACAAATAAATAAATTCAATAGGACTAATATAAAACGATACAAAAATAATACCATAATACATAATACCACCATAATAATACAAAAATAATACCATAATAACACAAATGTATTGTTCAAAGCCAATAATACAGAAATAATATCATAATACCACCATAATAACACCAAAATAACACTAATTACAATGTCAACATAACACCAATAAAACCATTAATTAGATCCAATAACACTAGTTTAACTCCATGATAAAACATAAATAACACCCAACTACCCTTATAAGTAAAAAACCAGGACAAAAACAATCACAATACCAAAAGGACAATATCATTAACAGTCAACATAAAATTCCAATTAAACTGGGTAATTAGAACCAATACTACAACTATAACACCATGATAATATTTAAATAATACCACGTATACCCTCTAACATAATAGTAACGTTGCAATCAAATAATACAATAATCACGCAAGAATAGCACCGCAATACTAGCATTAAGACGACTTTAATAACACCAGTAAATACATAGAAATAAGTTCACCTGCTGAATACTTCTGGCCACAGCTAATAAACTCAGCTCATTGGCATCATTCTCACAACTATTTTGCGATTCCATCAACATTTCTTGCTCGAGAGAGAATTTCATCGAGTTACTTAACCTAGTTGTTGAATACGAACGCAAATGCAAAAAGAAAGCAATTGAAAATAATTCCTAAACCCTAAACTGGAATGAGACCAAATATTCTTTTTCCCAATTTGGCGGGATCCAAAATGACAAGAAGTTCGATTTGGCGGGATCCGAAAATGACAAAAAGACGCTTTTTGGATGCTTGGGTGGGGCTCAGGCCGGGTCGCGCTGTAAAAAGATTTTTCTTCTTATTATTTTGATGTTGGTCCCACAATTTCTCTGTCCCTTTTCAATTGGCTACCGTATGTAATCCTGAGTGCGATCTCCGGACTGAATAATTTCTCCTGCGCTCTGGCGAGGTTTTGCTTTCCGAAATGATGATCTGACGTTTTGATAAGGCGTATGGTTTATTTTTTAGGTGTTTGGGCCAGATTTGGGCCGGGTCGCGAATTAAGAGAATAGTAACCCATGATTGTTGACAATGATCTTCCCATAATTCGGGTAAGCTAAGATCGACTTTGATTAATCCCTTTAAACAAACATCCAGGCAAGTCTACAAGGTTCCTTTGAATGAAACAAGACAAAAATCCACCCTAGGTCCATAAGTTTCCATTGAATGAAGCAACCCATGGTTGTTGACAATGATCTTCTGTCAGATTGGTTCGACTATCTCCTATGGCTAAGTAAAATAGTGACTATGACAACTTGGGATTATAAAATCATGTAATCTTGATTGGATTCTTCATTGTTTGCCCCACCATTCACTTTTAAGCTCACGATGATTATTTTTATAGTTTAAAATCTCAAATTTGTTGAAGCACCTAGTGAGAAGCCTTAATCAAAAGTACTCTCCTGTATCGGGAGAGTTAATTAATCATAGGGGTTTGTACCTAATGAAAATTTGACACGGGACTTTAACACATCAGCTCTCAGCAAGAGTTTGGGGCGATGAATTTTCAGTGCCCACAATTATATTCATTTGTTAGATTCTTTAGCTTCTTTGGATAAAGACATGCAACCTTGTTAGTTGATGTGTTCAAAGTTGATTGGGTAACAGGAGAATACATAAATCATCAATTTAATTTGATTGCAGACCGAACAATGAAACATGATAAGGTTAAAAATAACAAAAGTTTTATTAGAATAACAATAACACTATGAAAAAAGCTGCAGTTTTTTAATCCTAAACTGCAAAAAGTAATTTGGTGCAGCTTCTAGAAATTATTTGTTTGGCCCCTAATGATGAATATATAAAGTGTCAATTATAACTAGAAGTCAAATCCTAAAGCTCAAGAAGTATTTAACTATAAGTATCACAACCGACTTATGTGTTTAAATGTTCATGCAAGTTCATCCACACATATATATCAAATGGTTAATTCAATTTAAATATATATAATATCAAGTTAAACCAACCAACAAGTGCCGCCGGCATACCCTGACTTGTTGGTTGGCATTTGCGTTATTAGTTGTAAGTTTCCTGAAGTCGGGAGTTTGAATCTACCTCTGGCGATTGATGCCTTAAGGAGGTTGGTACTCGAATGACTAGGCACATTAGAAGAGGCCGGGGGCTCGTCTAATAGCCTCTCGCCATTCTCTTAAAAAAAAAAAAAGTTTGCACTAACCAATCACCCATTATTTCAATTAAAAGATAAGCGTTAAACTTGAAACCTAAATTTAAGCCTACATAATCATTTTTAATTGAGAGTAGCTCCTTTGAATAAGGACAAAATTCGATCGATGACATGAATAGCACAACACCGTCGGATCCACGGCGTGGTGCGATCACCCCTTTATTCGCACATCCGGGCTGCGGCATGGTGCGATCCACGCCGTCGTCCGTACGTCATTACGACGGACATAATATTCTAGAGTGAGATGGATAATTAACCATGGACTTTTTGTGCATAAATCTAAATAAATTCTGATTTTAACATAATGGCAGATCTGATTAAGTTCAACCTTATCTATCTCATATGATTGAACAACTGATATAGAAGATTAGGCGCTTTTTCTGAGCGATAGAAAACCAATGATTGTACTTATTGAATCCTTCTCGATGTTCGCTATATTAGACTTGTATTTTTTTTCTAACCTTTATTTTTTTTTCTATTTTTCAGATAAAAATAAAAGCAAGAGGTCTGGGCGTGAAAAATAATTAAGGGTATAAATGATCTTTTTTTGTAAAAGAATATTTATAATTGAAATTTTTTGTTTGTAATTTATATAATTGTTGATGTAATTGTGATGAGACTTTTTTGTAATTTATATGACTTAATTCGAATTTGATATAATGTCATTAGGGTGTTCATTTGGCTAATTTAGTGCCCGTTTGGGGCAGCTTATTTGGTGCGGTGGCGTTTTGAAAATGCGTCTGACCTGTTTGGGTAAACTGCATTTTGGCTGCTTATGCGTTTTCAAAATGCTGAAAATAGTGTTTTCACACAGCGCCTATTTAGGTGCGGTGACACCTTTCTGACAGCGGTCTGTCTTTTCCAAAAAAATAAAAAAAAATTAATAGTCACTACAACTAACTTATCAGCAGATTATTCAATAAGCTGCAGCTGCCAAGCAGACCATCAATCTATTTATTTGATTTATAGATTAGTTACATCAATTAGTTTTAATTCTATAATTTAAAAAGTTAAACCAATATTTTGTTACATTAAATTGAATCAAATTAAATTTTAATTTGGCTAATTTGATTGATTCAAGATGATAATTAGTTTTAATAATCAATATAATTATTATTAGTTTAAATAGTATATATTAAGAAATTGTCAAGTAATTTTAATTGACATTTTTATTTGCCTTGTAAACTAAATAATATTCATATTAATTTTAGGTCACTTGTTTATTATTGAATATTTATTTATAAATTATAAATTTTGCTGATTTAATATTTAAATAAATTAATATTGTAACAACTATATATATAAATAGTTAAGGAGGTAGGGTTAGAGTATACTTTTTGTTAACTTTATTAAATGAAAATTTTATTAATTAACATTTAATTATGATTAGATTGTAAATCAATAATTAGAGGCAAGAATTTTCACATTTGAGATCAAGGAGTGGATTGTCATGAAGGGAAATGGTGGAACTGAAATCTTCTAAGATAAAATTTTGTTAAGGTTTGCTAATATTAAATTTTTATATATCAAAGTATATTTCTATTTAAAGTTAGTGTAGATTTCATGATTAAAATTAAAAATAAAGAAAAACTAGAAAGTAGAAAGCAAATGGGAAGCATATTTGAATTGAATCAAGAGCAATAATCAGACATGTACGCCTGCAATTCAAGTAATATATAAATTACTAGTCAGTGTATCGATCACATAGAGAATGAGTTAACTATTCAAGTATGGACAAGCTCTACTTTACTGGTTTTGAGTCAACTACACAAGTATGCATATCATTTAAATAATATATGGATCGCTAGTCTGCGTATCAATCTCACAAAGAACGAGTTAACTATCCATATCAGTAAAAAAATCAATTTATTGGTTTTGAATCTATAGCTTGAAAGGTTTGAATGGTTGAAGCATTTTTAAAGCTTCTACTCCTATGCTCACAAAAAATTAAAAACCTAGGTTTGTCAGTTCAGATTTTCCCCTGAATTGGATATTAGGAATTTTAGTTTAATTATGTGATCAAAATTATGGGTGACAATCTAGAACAAAATTACACCTTATACCCTCTCTATCATGTAAGAAAATTTAAAAATCAAACAAGTTCAGTCTCCTAAATCAAGTCATTATCTCATGATCACGTATTTCCGTATACGATTGCACTAATATAAAAGCAATATTCCTATTTTTCTAAATCAAGGTAAGTTAACCTAATTTGTTCCACTAGCTTGCTCCAGCACAACTAGATCACAAAATATTTTAAACTAGCAATTGGTCAGATTGAAAGTCAATTAAGTTCAGAAGATTAGCTTATCACGTCTATACATTTTCAATTGATTCACATAATACACATTAAACATAGAATTACTATTGTACCAATTCATAGAAGAAATAAAGATTCTATTCACTACCCATGCTTTGTATCACAGAAATCAACATTTTATTTAACAAAATATAGTAAATACAAGAGTTAGAAGGAAAGAATAGCTTAAGGTTGCGTTTGGGGTAGCTTATGTTTATCTAGATAAATCGTTTATATGGAAACGCGGACCACGGTGTTCGACTCGCGTTCTACGCTTAGTGTAAAAAATCAACTGTTTTTTTTCGGATAAGCTGCTTAAACGCAGTTACCAAACGGTGAGACAGCGTTTTCAAAACTCCGCCACTGTGGATAAGCTATCCCAAACGGAGACGTATACTGCTCTCACCAAACCTTCCTTCTCATCACGAATAAATCACTTACATTGAATTACAACACTACATGACTCTTCTCACCAAGCCTCACCAATCTCTCACACTACTTCACACTCGGGGCACCATAAATGATTGGCAAAGACCATGAGCGAAGGGGAAAAGTTCTGAGCTAAGGGGAAAAGTTCTGAGCTTTGTAAGCATAATCTCCCCTTGTTCTCTGAATTATCCCTTTTTATCCTTCCCGCCTTCAAACAATGCGACGAAACAAATCCCACTCATTCTAGCCCTTGTGCATATCAGAGATGAGGCTTAGGCGCCCATTGCTCTGGATCTAGGCGTTTGGGCGCCCATGACTGGGGCCTAGGTGCCAGTTTCAATGAGGCGCTGAGGCACCTAGTGGTGCCTGGGCTTCTCGGCACCCAATAGTGGCACTTAGGTACCACCCTCTCTAGACTTGGGCACCTGGCTTTCTAGGCAAACTCGGTCCTTTTCCTCCCTAAGTGCTCATTTGCTCCTCAAATTACGTCTTTGCTCCCCAAATTTCTAATTACCTGTATCTTGCATAAACAACCACAAATATCAAGGAGAAGCATAACAATTACCAAAAAAGCACAAAATTATATTGAAATAACATACACATTTGATACACATCACATATCCCCAAACTTAAATATTAATTGCCCTAAAAAAATTTCAAAATCTAAAATTAGTATTTAATAAACATTAGATATATTTTGAACAAAAATATAATGGAACTTTTCATACATCTTTTTAAACGTAGGAAAAAATATTAACGGTGTAAAAGTTAAAGTTTAAGGGTCTGTTTTGGGGCAGTTTGTGTATTTCAGGATAAACAGCTTATCCTGAAACGCGGCCCGCGTGTCGACCGCGGGGGTCTGCCCGCAGCCTACGTTTAGTGTAAAAAACTCAAACGCGGTAGACAGCATTTTTAAAAATGAACAAATCAAAAAATTAGACGACATTTTAAAAAACATCGCCTCACTTAAGCTGCCCCAAACCGGCCCTAAGTGTGAGATAAGACATGAATGTAAATCTCGGTCTTTTTTTTTTATATATATATTTTAAAATTACGCTCCCGTAGCCTTAAAACCGCCGGTCTATGGATTCATTTCCCACTTCCGTCATTTCGGTAGCGCTACTGCTAATCAGTGCTATCTGCGATCAAGAGCATCCCCTATTCCTCTGGAACCTGCATTGGAGAGCTTGTTGGAGTTCCCTCATTATCTACTCCTGCGTCTGAGAGCTAGCTGGAGATCCCCAGGCTCATTAATCTTTCGTATGCGTGTTTGAAAATCAGGGTAAGTAAAACAGTGCTTTCAAGTGATTAGATTCTTTTTTTTATTTCATCGGTTTCCAACCATTCTCGAATTCTTGATTTTGAATAACCTTAGCCTAATCTTCTTTGAGGTGTTTTTTTCCTATGCCATTCAATTATCTCACGATTATTTTTTATTTTTCCATTTGTCGCCAATTTGTTTTTCTGAAAAAATTCTATCGCGATGATCATGACAACTATATCAACTAATAATTTGAATATTTTTGAAGTATGTCTCCTTCATCTTCAAATTTGAGTCAATAGTGGATATAATGCAAGTCATTAGGGTTGTCCTCAATTAATCTAAAGCAATATAAAAAAAATACATATAACGCAATAGACATTTTTAGGAGATTGCTAGCGACGCCTAAGGAGATCTCCTGATCCAAGATTATTTTTCTAGATTTAAGAATTTATGGACTGAATTTATTGACATGATTTATGCAAAGGTATCCATCGAATCACTATTTGTTATCCAAAAGGTTAATGGAATGAGCAACCAAGATAATTTTTTTGATGAAATTTAGTCCTGAATTTGTTGTTACTCATTTTAATTTGATGAATCGCTTCCTTTTTCCTTCTATGGCTATGTGTTTAAGGACATACTTCATGAAGAATGCACAAACCATCTTTCAACATCATAAAAAAGCCAAAAAAAAAAAAAAATCAGTTAGAAGGACTAAATATATTTTTCTTAATTGCGCTATAGAAAGTTTGCAATTATCATAAGAAGCATAGAGATATTATTAATTAATGTTGCATATGGCCTCATAGGATGCAATGGAGAAAAAGGATTCATGTAGCCGACCCCACGTACTGGGATTAAGGCTTTGTTGTTGTTGTTGTATGGCCTCATAATTGACAATCAATTGCTAAACAATTGGTTCTTGTTGATCATGTTATTGATTTAATTGGATAAATTCAATACTACTCTTGAAATGGTTCAATAGATGATCATTAAAACCCATCGACTTAATACTACAAGGTATGCATACTCTTATCTTAATCTTAGTTTATGAATTCTAATGCACCTAATTATATACAACTTCATCACATGTTCATCATATTCAATCACATTATGGCTTTTCATCTATTTAGGTTACTAATAATTATCAATTACTTGTTGATGCCATTGGAGATATTAATTCTTATGTGGAAGAGGTCCTCATATCTTCTAAGCTTTCTGTTAATTTTATCTCAAGAAAAAAGTATTCAAAAATATGGTTGATAATAAGTATGATGTTTGATTTTATCTTGATGGTTGCATCATGTGTTATGTAGAATCAAATCATACCTCACCAACAAAGTAGAAAAAATAATTTAGCAAAAGTCTGTCATGTATGCTATGTATTCCATACCAACCTTGGAAAGGCATCCATGGATATTGTCCTTAGCCTACCTAAGATTCTTTGGGGGAAATGATAGCATCTGCGTTATTGCATGCATAATTTTCAAAATGGTCTGCTTCTTATATTGTTTCAAATTTAATAATGATTCT